TTTTTGTGGCATGAGGGCTCCAGAGTGCACAGGCTCAGTAGTTGCCGCATGCGGGCTCTCTAGTTGTGGCGTGCGACACGGGCTTAGGTGCCCCACGGCATGTGGGATCTTAGTTCCCTGACCAGGGATTGAACCCGCGTTCCCTGTATTGGAAGGCAGATTCTTAACCACTGGACCACCAGGGAAGTCCCCCAAAACCAATAAAATTATTTTAGGCTGAAAATATTAGTGCAGGAGGAAAGAAGTGGCCGGGGTGTAGGCTCTAAAGATGAAAATTATATGAAGGTGTGTTTGTGACAGGTCATTAAATGTATTAAATAGTTGCTATGCCCCAGGCACATAACTGCAATAACTCATGTCTCGTCATGTTTCCCTCTCTGGGAAAACAATGTGTTGTGTGAAGATTACAGCTGGGGCTGAGAGATGTTGCCATGAGCTTTCCTCATAGTCTAGAGGCCACGAGTACCTCGTTCAAGGACCTTTTCAGGGATTTTTCTCTGGACCTTGAATATTCTCTGATTATTGGGGATGAAACATATTTGCCCAGAATAACAGTCTTGGTGAAAAGACATTTCTAACCATCATTTCACTGTTTGTCTTTGGTGAATTTTAGGCCCTTGATAGGTACTGCGGCTTAGCAAATGCTCCCAAATTCTATAGACAACTAGCGTGTATTTTATTTTCAAATAACTTTTCCTCTATCAAGATCTCAATTCTCACAAATATAGTAACTATAGGATCATTTAACAAGAGTTCAGGCATAGTTTGATCAACCATCTTTTTCTTTTACTCTATGCACCACAGACTAGAAGCGAAAGGTATGACTTTCTTTTATCTTCAAAGATGTTGAAAGTGAGGCCCAGGAAAGATAAGGATATTATTTCCTTAGGATTTCCTCAAGAGGATTTCCTCAGGAGGATCAAGCTTTGGGAGACTGAAAGGCTAGAACCCAGAGATCCCTGATTTTTCTTCTTTCATCTCAGACATGGTGAATTTTGTCTCACATCTATCCCTAGGGGTTGCTGGTGCTCCTTTTGACTTAAAGGTTATCTCTTCTTTATTTCGTGTGCTGCGAGACACGCCTGAAAGACACACCAGGCAACTGGATGGCTCCATGCTTGCTCAATGAGTCAGAGTGCATGAAATATTTCTTTAGGAAAAAGGGATACAGTCATCCCTCAGTATCTGTGGAGGGCTGGTTCCAGGACCCCCGAGGATACCAAAATCTGAGGATGCTCAAGTCCCATATATAAAGTGGAGTAGTGTTTGAATATAAAGCACAGCCTCCCATATACTTTAAATCATCTCTAGATTACTTGTAATACTAATGCAATGTAAACTCTATGTAAATAGTTGGCATGCAGCAAATTCAAGTTTTGCTTTCTGGAACCTTCTGGAATTTTTTTTCAGAAGGCTAGTTGAATCCGTGAATGTGGAACCCCTCGGTACAGAGGACTGACTGTGCTAACTTGGTGTAATGATAAGGCAGTGAAATAGAAGAGAGGGAAGGGGAAGTTGCCTTAAGAAGAAATGATCATAACTTATTGTTATTGTTTCTTAGAAATGTAATTAAACTGGGGGAACTGGGGTGGCAGGGCTGGGATAACTGTAAAGGTTAAAACATACAATCTAGGGCAGATCAGGCAGAAAACATGTGTTTAAACACTCAAAAAATCTGCAAATTATATGTGAGATAGCCCTGAGTAGCTAAGGCTAAGCATGAGAATCCATCTATCTGGTGGGAAAATGACAAACAAGATAACAAAAAAGCACAATCTTTCTGGTTGACCAATATAACCACCATGGAGTTTGCAAAAACAGAACCATCTGTTGTGTAAGGAACCATGGAGAGAGATTCTGTATTTATAGAATCCTGAGTGGGAAAAAAAGGCAGATTAATAAACTTTTTTTTTAATTCACTAATCTGAAATCCACTTTTCTTCTGTTTCTCTGCTGTCAACATATACCGTGTTTAAAAACAAACAAACAAAAACCCAGTCAATTTAAAAGCAGACAGACTTGCTATGACTAATTTGAGAACTCCCAAAGTGGGCTCTTTTCCAAAAATACATAGCAATTGACAATACTGGCAGCTCAGTCTTAGGGGTTATGATACAACTACAGACCCTGAGGCTGAATCAGATGTTTACTGCTAGTTTGGGCACAGCAGGGTAGTTTGCAGAGGAACTGTACAACCCTTAACTGTTCCTGGTATGGGGCTTTAAAATGAAATCTTCCCATAAACAAATGTTTCCAATGCGTGTACCTTAAGCAGCCTACCTTAATAATTCTTATTTTTTCCTCTTGATTTCTTTTTTTTTTTTAATTAATTAATTTTTTGGCTGTGTTAGGTCTTCGTTGCTGTGTGCGGGCTTTCTCTAGTTGCAGCGAGCGAGGGCTACTCTTTGTTGTGGTGTGCAGGCCTCTCATTGCGGTGGCTTCTCTTTGTTGCGGAGCACGGGCTCTAGGCACGCGGGCTCAGTAGTCGTGGCTCACGGGCTTAGTTGCTCCACGGCATGTGGGATCTTCCCGGACCAGGGCTCGAACTCGTGTCCCTTGCAGGCGGATTCTTAACCACTGTGCCACCAGGGAAGTCCCACTCTTGGTTTCTAAAATGGAAGTTTTTCAAGGAAAAAACTTGTAGTGGGGGCCAAGAGCACTATTGCTTTTCAGATGTTGCACGTTCCTTCTAAAACACCTATTTCTTTGTTGCCTCCTTAGTGCAGTAGGCAGCATGTCAGTCTCATAAAACACATATTTCTTAATGAAAATATGTCATAAAATTATTTTCGAAAAGCTAACATCTTTAGCTGGCATTGCTTTTCCACGAATACCTCTATGTGTTATAATTACTCTGTATTATGATGGAGGAGGTTGGAAATTAAAGTGATGATTCTCTTCCAAAAGCCTTCAAAGGGATGATAGGATCACATTTCTTTTTTGTCCATTTTATTAAATTATTTTTCTAGGAATTTTCCCTTCAACTAAGTTTTCATATGTATCTTCATAAAATTATTCATAGTATTTTGTTATCGTGTTTAAATATCTATAGGATGGATGGTGATGTCTCCTTTTTCATTTATGATATCGGTTATTTTTTAAAATTAATTTTTATTGGAGTATAGTTGATTTAAATATTGTGTTAGTTTCTGCTGTACAGCAAAGTGAATCAGTTATACATATACATATATCCACTTTTTTTTTTTTTTTCAGTATCTGGGCCTCTCACTGTTGTGGCTTCTCCCGCTGATGAGCACAGGCTCTGGACGCGCAGGGTCAACGGCCATGGCTCACGGGCCCAGCCGCTCTGCGGCATATGAGGTCTTCGCGGACCGGGACAGGAACCCATGTCCTCTGTATCAGCAGGCGGACTCTCAACCACTGCACCACCAGGGAAGCCCTATCCACTCCTTTTAATTCTTTTCCCATATAGGTCATTACAGAGTATTCAGTAGAGCTCCCTGAGATGATCCCATTTCACTCAGTGAGTTCAATTAATTTTGCCATGAGGAACTCCCTGGGGGTCCAGTGGTTAGGACTCGCTCTTTCACTGCTGTGGCCAGTGTTCAATCCCTGGTCGGGGAACCAAGATCCTGAAAGCTAGTTACAGCGGCCAAAAAAAAAAATTTTTTTTCTTTTAAACCATGAATTCAACTGTGTGGACGAGGAGGCAAAAATAAATGACATCACCACTTACTGGGTGTCTATGTGCCAGGTAATGCACTAAGCACATTACAGCCTTTATCACATTTTATCTTCCCAGCAGTGCTGCACATTATTATCTTCATTTTACATGGGGGGGACTGAGGTTCAGAGTGGTGAAGCAACTCACTGCAGGACACACAGCTAGTAAGACACTGGCCTGTTCTTGGTTTCCTGTTAAATGGGATACACAGTATATTTCTTGGAGGTTTTGTTCAGCATAAGGTTATACCTTCTGCTGCTAAATTGTTCAAGTAGTTTCTTGTACCAAGTGTGACCTGGTTCCTTAAAAATTGTCATTTAATGAGAACCTATGGGCTAGACACTCCGCGAGGTGATTATGCACCTTATCTCCTTTAATCATTACAGTTCTAAGAGACTGGGTTCTCTCCATTTTACGTATATTGAAACTGTTTTGGGAGGTAAAGAAAGTTGCTTAAGACTGACGAGTTAGTGAGAGGCAGAGCCACGGACGGATTCCAGGTCTCCGACTCCAACGCCAGAACGAGCTTTCCCCAGGACACCAGTGTTTCCATTTGTCAGTTCCGGCACTAGAGAACCACAGTGCTGATTTAATGTTTGTCAAGTGTTCATAGTGCCCTGGGATCTGGCACTTCGATGAGAAAGCTGTGGCAATACCGACCTCTCTGTACACCCAGCCAAGAAGGCAGGACGGGAGGCCTGGAGGGAGAAGCCCTCACATTTAAGTTTCGCAACAGAAGTGGTCCCCTGGAGGCTGCTTGGCGAGCGCCACCTCTTCCCTCGGGCGGGGAAGACACAGAGGGGTCCCAGGCCCCTCCGAGGTCCCGAGCCATGCGGCAGCTTCGGCGTGCGGTTTCGGGTCGTGGGCCTCAGTAAACAGCAACTGGCTAGTAATCCAGCGGAGAAAGCCAAGCGGAAACATTGCCGCGCCCGCACCCCTGGCCCCCCAAAACCGGGACGGGGATGGGGACGGCAGCGGAAACTGCTACGGCGGCGGCTGGCAGAGCCCCTGTGCTATTGGCCCCTCCCTTCCCGCTCCCGGAAGTGACGCGCATCAGCTCCGGAGTCGGGGAGGGGCCCCAACGCAGCCGGGGGGTTTGAGAGTGGCGGCGGCCGCGGAGCGATTGGCAGGCTCGGCCGCGGCGAGGAACGCCCCGAGCGCGCGCCCGGCGGGTAGCGGCCCCGACGACCCGCGCCGCCGCCGCCGCCGCCGCCGCCGCGTGTGGGGGCGGGGAGGGGGGGGCGCGAGGAGCCGCGGCTGGGGCGGCTG